TTCTGATTCTACAACATACAAGCTGTGTGCTCTCGAGCGAGTTACCTAACCTTCCTGCCTGGCAGTGACCCCATATGTAAAGTGTGAGGATGCTAGAGGCAGCGCTGCATGGGCCACAGGCTTAACCACCTTACCTGACACAGACTTAAAATGATGCTACTTTAAGAACACTGCATATTTCAATACTCCATCAGAAGAAACCAGTTTCCATCACTCAGGAGTCTCCAACTTCTCTTCCCAGGTGTTTCAAGACAATCGAAAACTTCTCATGTTCTTACGCATGAGGCAAAAAAGGAAGGAAACAAGACCCGTCATCATTTGTCCTGAGTTTCAGTGTGGCAATAGGAGTAGAAACGTCTAGTTGGTCTTGGCTCTATATATTCAGTTCCTCCTTACCTGACCCAGTCTAAGCTGAGTGTTGTCTCTCCAAGATGCAGGTGCTTCCCAGAACCTGAGAGGTGAGCTTACCATGCAATTAGATAAGGCAAGGCTGCACTGGAGTGCGGCGGGTCTGTGACTCAACACCACCAGTATCCTGATAAGAAGTGGGGATACCTAGACAGAGGCGCCCACAAGGGGGGCTGTTGACAACACAGGAGGAGCCTGGAGTGGTGTTCACAAGCCAAGGAGTGCTGGTAACAGCAGACTCTAAGAGAATGACCTGGATCAGATTCACCACTGTAGTCTTTAGAGAGAAGGCAGACCTGTCGATACTTTGATTTTAGAATTCTGGCCTCCAAAATGGTGAGAGAATCCATTTCTGTTGATGGAAGCCATTGAGCTTTGCTGCAGCAGCCACAGGACTGGAATCGCCCATCGCCTGCTGCAGGGTAAAGCCATGTGCACAGTGCAAGGCCCCGTGCTGAGCTGGTCTCTAACTGTGCGGAGGGAGAGTCTGTGTTCCCTGAACAGCTAAGGCAAAGGGTGTGAGGGATCGGACACTCGAAAGCTGAGTTAAGATGATCTCATTTCTTCCATGAAATTCATCCCTATCGCGCCATCTTCACTAGCCCACGTGCTTAGTTTCAACATTTATGTTTTCTAATCGAGGCCTTTTTGAACTACTGTTATAAGTCGCTTTGCACAAGGACGTCTGAAGAGAGCTGCTGGCACAGGAGGTGAGTGGTGAGGAAGCAGAGCTGAGACGAAGAGGAAGCAGAACCTCACTCGGGTGCTCAATGAGCCTCCAGAGAGATCTGAAGGGGAATTTTGGAGTCCCCCCAGCTGAGGTCAGGAGGCCAGGCCTCTGCCCCCCACATCAACGACTCTGGGTGCAGGCTGCTCACACAGGGCAGCTGGGGCTTGGGTCAAGGCAGCTGCCGTCAGCTGCCTTTTCAGGTGAGGGACACTGAGCAGTCAGGACTGCTGGTGCCGGGGTCCTACAGAGGCATCTAGAAGATGCCCGAAGGCACCCCCTGTGGATGGGTGGAAACTTCCTGCCTAATCACCATGGTGTGAGGATGTGGCCTTGTAAGTTCCAACTTGGAGGAGCATTGCCCGCTGTGGAGAGAAAGCACTGGAGCCCTGAAGTCAGGTCCAGAGCCACACACGGGCAGTGACAGCGTCCATCCACGGCCCCCTCCTGCACACGTTCTCCACCCACCCTCACAGCAGCTCCTCTGCTCCCTGTTCTGGAATGGCCTCCACTCATGGCTGAGCCACGGCGATGTCTTCTCTTTCTCGTCCCCCAGGAACAGAGCGGGTGATCACTGGACTCTGTCTGGAAATCTCCACTCAGCCCGAGTCCCTTCTTTATTCCTTGTCATCAGTCCACGTTAGCACCCGCCCTGCGCTGACCTCGGTGCTGACCGGGAGGGGAATGAACGAGGGTTTGCAGGCTGCTGAGTGGGCCGGCGAGGAAGGACTGTGCTCTGACAGAGGAGGGATGGAGGGCAGCAGGGCGACTTGTGAGTGAACAACCCCTAGAGCCCTCACAGGGTCCTGCACAGGATGGATTCTGCAGGGCTCAGAACACACAGCGAGGGAGGGAGTCACTCTTGAAAGTTCACCCCTCTCCTGGCCTTCCTGTGAGGCCCACTTTGCCATCCCACACATCAGCAGGGGTGCCAAGGAGCATGTCCACTGCCTTCGTGGTGGGAAGGGCCTGTCATCCTCTGAGGCCATGGGCGGCGCAGTCACACGCCTTCCCTGTGCAAACACCCCATGCCAGTGACCCCAGGTCACAAGCCCTGGGGATGGAGCTCACGGCTGTTCACGCAGACCGGACGCCTCTAAAACATGAGCCCCCAAGGATGCATCATTCCGTATCGGCTGTTCTCCTCAACAGCCTCAATAACAGCGGGCCGGTCTCTCACAGGCAAAGCATCTCTCAGTGGGCGGGGCTCCCACATGAAATACAAATTATGGGTCTAAAGGTATAAACCTAACTGGGGAGATCATACCCCAAAGAAGCAAAAAAGCAGGAGAATATTTTTTTTTTTAAATTAGCCAACTCTAGACCAAAAATAGAAAACACCGTATTAATAATAATTATGTGAAGGTAATAGCTTATGTTCTTTAATGTAGTTCCAACATAAATGTCACTGTAAGAAATGATATTTCATTTCAATACTAACAAATCAGGTATTTAGTGTGCTGGGGGAGAAATGATTGGAACTACTTTAAAGCCACGTTAACCAGAGAAACTGCAAAAATATTTATATTCTTATGAAGGAAGAGTAGAATGCCCCTCGTGGGTACATTTAAGGCTCCTCCATCTTTTGGATAAATGGTAATGCTACACAAAAAATGGGAAGATGACCTTAGAATAAGAACCTCAGGGCCCGACTGGGACTCAGCTTCTCAACATACAAAAATCATTTGCAATACGGTCAGGATGGAAATTTCTCTACTGCTTTATAACTCACAGGATTCATTATATACCTCCAACAAAAATCACGCAACACCCAACTCTGGACTAGCTTCCTTCCCCTGGGGGAGCCCCATATGCAAAATGATTCACCATCCTCTTGCTCACTGTCTGCATTTCTGCTCAGTTGCTCAACAGTGTTTGGCAAAATGGGGAGCCGAGGCGAAGGAGAAAACCAATCCGTACAGAGAGGTGTTTCATATTGAGCCCGGGATCGTTACAGCAAAACCGGGTCTGGCACCGCAAGGGCTTTCTCCAGCCAGTTCCTGCTCCGGTCCTTCTTGTGGAGACCCCACGCAAAGGCCATGTGGAAAATTTCACAGGGCAAATGCTGAGGCCATATCTGAAAGCGACCCCGGGGTGGTGGGGGGTGGTCCCTTTCCTTCTTTGTTATTCCCAGCAGCCACTACTGCAGGCTGCGCTGCAGGGGAGCAGGAGAGCTGGAGGGGCCCTGGCCTCTGAGTCATTTAGTTTCAGACAACAGCTCCAAAGGACTTGGAGCCTCCAGCTGATTTATTGTGAATGGCATTGATACTTATGTGCCTGGGAGCTGTTAGCCTGAATGGGTGCTTGGAGAAACAAAGTCAATGAAAGTCACCAACCCAATAAACCTGCCAAGGATCGAATGCCGTTGTCTTTTAAACAAGTGGCTGGGCCCTTTCCATCAAGAGGCACACAGCTGGGGACGCACATGCCTGTGTCCATAAGGCCATGGAGCCAGAATGTTCCCGGCTTTCTATTTCCATGGCTCAGTAGGTTTTGAACAGATTCCTGATGCTCTAACTTCCCAGTGCATTCACATGGGATTCTCTTTTGGCCTTTATGGAAATCTTTGGTGTAGGGAGAAGGGTTTCTGATCTATGAAGTCCAGGTTCATAGAGGTAAGACCCTCACAGCACTGCTGCTAAGTGGAAGAGGGAGGCCTTTGGAAGCCCCATCCCGCGCCCTGCCAATGGTCTCACCTTCTGCTGCTGCCTCGACATTAATGGGGGTAAGTAAGGATTTGTTCAGCCAAACAGCTTCTTCTTTCACTATTAAAATAATCCTTTCAAGCAACTATTTAGACGAACTGGCTATTGAACGGAATTACTGGGTAGAATCGGGTGGTTCAGTCGCCCTGTGTTGAGAGGACCCTGGCCAGGTGGGGAGACAGGTAATGTTCATCACCTCTCACTCCCTGGCCCCCTTGATAGCTAACAGATTTCTAAAAGCACGGGATTGTGCAGAGGCCAAGAGCTTCCTGGCCATTCCAGCGAGGATCAATGCCAACACAAAGAGCTTAACACTGGTGAGGTCCAGGTATTCTTGGGGTTGAATGGAAGTCACCAAGGAGTAGTCTGTCAGCTTGCCTAACAAATTGAAAAGAGTCTATTACCTTGGCACTGTCACAATGTCCCTTATTTATGCTCCTCTGGTGAGGGAGTGGAAGGGGAGCTAGAACAGCCTGTGCAGCAGCTCTCCGGCTGCTCCTGCAGCTAATATAGCTGTAGAAAGAAGGTGATTTATACGCACCCTTTCCCTCGACACGAAAGTGTGCAACCCAGACCACTCATCTTGGGAAGACCCACATCTCTCTCTCTTTCTCTCTCTCACATACACGCACACTCCTGTTTGCCCTGGTGACAGCTGAGGGCAGAGCTGCTGACTGAGATCAGCACGGAAAACAGAGAAACACAAGCCACAGAAATACTGACAACATCTACACACCACCCGATGCCCTTCGTGATGCGGGGGTTCCAGTCCACTTGTTGCAAAAGGCAACAGCATGCTCCTCCACATAAAACAGGGCCAGACAGAGGTTCCATAAAGGCTGGGGGTGCGTGTCAGGAGGAGGCTCCCTGCCGCTCGCTGGAGAGGGCAGATGATTGAGAAACCAACTCGGCAGGCATGCACAAATTGCTTCCAGGATCAACACAGATTGTGCTGCCAGTAAAAGCAATCACTGAACTAGTTCTGCAGGAGCAGGGAGCTGAGCCAGACCCCACCTAGAGACTTCTTCCTCTTTCAGGTGAGAAAACAAAAGCGAGGGGCCAGGGAGAGCTGCCTCCCTCCTTCTCACCCCCCACCCCCCCCCCCCGCCCCACAGTACTCCTGCTGAGTGAAAACACAGGTGCCCCGTGGCCTCACGTACCTGGTAGGGTCCCTGGTTGCAACCACAGTAGCTGCTTTCCATGGTGTAGCTTCTGGACACCCCCATCTCCCTCCACACCACGACCCGGGCGGTGGAGGCTCGGGATTTCTCCACGAGGAAGCTGCAGCTGCTCATCGTAAATGCTGGTGCTAGCTTATCAAGGATTTTGGGAAGAGCCTGCAGTAAAAAAAAAAAAAAAAAAAAAATCATTATGATGAGTGGTGGGCGACTGGGGATATGCATCATAAAAACATCTTCTCAACATTTATTAAGTATCCCCATATTTCACACATTAAACATACTCTACTGCCTTTTTTTTAAGATCTTTTTTATTTATTGATACAAGCACTGGGGTACAGGCCAGAGGCACGGGAGGGTGAGAGAATCCACCAGAGACAGAGCAGGGAGCAGAACAGGCAGAAGGACCAAAATCCACTGCTGAGGGGAGCAGCGGGCAAGACAGGAGAGGTCTGCTGCTGTGCCGTGTGGGTATCTCCCTGGCGGCTGGGAATCAAACCGGCACCGTGGAGGCTGCAGACAGCTTCACAGCATTGCGTTCCACCTGCTGCACCACCGGGGAGGCCCCCAATTTTTTTTTTTTTATCAACTCTAAGAAATGGAAAACAGGTTAAGGAAAGCGAAGTCAGAAAGAAAGAACTTGAGTTCACCTACAGGCTGGCTGGACGAGGATCAAAGGCCACCCTGGTGTAGGGTAAGGTAAAAATGTATCAGGCTTTTCTGCCCTCCCACCATTAGGATGGATGACGCATCTGTGGTCCTGAGTGCATGCCCGATGGTGGGCACCTGGAGTGGGGTGTGGGCACCTGTAGATGGGATTCACCTGGGCTGAGACTGGGCTTCTAGGGCAGTGTCATGGGGATGCCAGCAGAAGAGCAGATCGGAAAAGCGGAGCAAAAGAGAACAGAACCAACAAGAGTGGAACACCAGGAGAGAGAGAGCCCAGAGAGGGTGAAGACGCGCTGGAAGCTGGGAGGCCTGCCAGCCCCTGCCTGCCGGTGTACCTGCTAAATCCCAATAAAAGCCTGCAAAAGCCACCGAGGGGTCCAGGATTCTCACTTTACCCTGTCTCCTGGATCCTAGAGATCCTGCTCTGGCCCTTCCTGCCGCTACACCTGGCCAGGTCCAAAAGCCACCCCCGCAGAGTCCAGAGACCACACACGGTCCTCCCGCATCACCTCTCGCTGCACGGACGCTCGTTGCATGCAGGCGTCCAATCTCACCGTGTCGAGCTGAGCCCCATGGAAAGTCACGGATTTCCCAGAGGCCTGAAGCTTCCAGAGTAACTACGAAGCCGCGCTGTGTCCAGGCTTTATGGGTCAAGCTAAGGACTGCTCACATCGCACCCAGGGCCCACGGCTGACTCTTGCTCGGAGCGCATAGAAAGTTCGCTCGTCTCCTAAGAGAGTGCAAGCGCCAAGGTGGGCTTGATCAGTCCATGAATCTGGGGCTGGAATATTTGCAAAACTACAAATTCATCCACTCCGGGTTCACGTATCCCACCTTCCCCTAGGAGGCAAAAGCTTTGTGTGAGAACAGTTAAGTCTCCACTTAGAGGCCCCTGATTGGCAGAGAGGGGGTGTCCAGGCAGACCTCTCCGACCCTGAAGCTCAGAGCACAGAACACGGGTCCCGGGGTCAGCAGAAACGCGGCGCTTAGAAAGTCCATGATATTAACAAGAAGACTTCGCTCCCAGACTATCCACCAACAAGCACATACTGTAAAATTAGGTACACTGGATCGCGAGTGGTGAAACTGCAGATTTTTGGACATATTGTGCAGAGAAGGTAGATGTAAAGGCAGGACAGGACACAGTGCAGGTTTTCTGATCCCATGCAGACCGGGTAAAGGAGGAGTCAGAGTCCTCAGTGGCTTTTTTGCAGGTCTTTTATTGGGGTTCACCAGGCATATGGCAGGCAGGGGTGCTGGCTGGGGAGCTGGCAGGCCTCCCAGCCCCCAGCAAGTCTTCACTCTATCTGGACTCTCTGGCGTTCGTTCTGCTGCTTCTCGGCTTCTGCTTCGGCTTCTACTGCTGCTCCTGGCGTCCCCGTGACGCCGCCCTTAAAAGCACAGTCTTAGCGCAGGTGAATCCCATCTACCTATGCCCACACCCTACTCCAGGTGCCCGCCATCAGGCATGCATTCAGGACAAGGATCCATCATCTACCCTGATGGCGGAAGGGCAGAAAAGCCTGATATTTTCTTTACCCTACAGTAGAGAACTAGAACAAGTTGATGGCATACAAATCAATAAATTATTTTTAAAGATTTCTGTTTTGTTCATTTCTAGGATATTGAGCAAATCTCTTAATATCTCTGCTTCTTACTGTTCCCGTGTTTAATATACCTGTTAATTATATTAATGGCAGGATGAATATAATTATCAATTATATAAATTACATATGAGCGTATATTAACATACTTATTAATATAACTTTCCATGATCTCTAAGTTCCGACATAGCTTCCAGACCTACAGCATCATTTGCACAAGGGAAATGAAATGCTAACGATGTCCTCACTTAATTTCTCTAATTGTCTCTTAATTGATTTCATCTGTCCATTTTCAACCCTCTCTCCTGGTGCTCTCTCACCCCACGCTTCAATGACAATTACGGATTGTGTATGTACTGAGTTGTTTCTTTTCTAATGTTCTGTGTCTTGTTCACCGAACAACCTATATCTGAAGCTCCCAAAGAATCATCCAAATTATTTGCTGAGATAAATAGAATCCGCTGGTCTGGACGCTTAGGGAACTGCTTATATAGGTAAAACAGACTATTAATATAGACCGCAACTCAAGTGGTGGAATATAATCGTAATTTACCAATATTTTGCCAGGTTGCACAAGCTTAATCTGGCTTTCATACTTCAGTGAAGCTGGTTTTCTTAGCTAGTACAACCCCTGTACAAAGCCCTAGATGACCCCTCGCTCGCAGCCCATCCCCTTTTCTCACTCTGACATAGAACAATTTGTGTAGAAGCACAAGGGGAAGAGAATGAGGACTTCACTGTAAGATGTGTGGGAGTCTGCCATTTAATGAACAAGTAAACCACCACCATGGAGATGGAGGGAGGAGCCCCTTGCTGGGGAGATGCAAAGGTCCTGTGGTCAGCCCCACAGACATCAAGTGGTGAGGGTGTGGCTGCACAGAGGCATGCAGGCTCAAAAGCCTGAGTTCTGGACCCCCACACAGCGTGACTTCGAGCCACCGAACTTGTCCAGTTCCCCGTTTTGCCACCGTAAAAGGGGAGGTGGGCACAGCCCTTGCCTTGAGTGGGGCAGGAGCACTCAGGACCTCTCTAAACGGTGCTATTATCACCATTATTACTGTTGTTCAGAGCAGAGTTGGCGGATTTGGAAGAGAAAAGCCAGTCGGCTCTAATACTGAACCTTCCAAGATTTAAAAAATGCAAAGCCTCTCTTTGCATGTATAGATCCCTCTTTCAACTCAGTTAACTCCCATTCCCCAAGCTCCAAACACGCACTTATTCTTGCTTTCTCCATTTCTTTAATTCTAAACTGCAGAGCATTCAACTCATCATTTTCACCCTCTGAAATAGTATCTGCTTTATAAGGTCACTGATGTCAGAATCTAACAGTGTAGACACTGAGGCAGAACTACCGGGTCCCAATTCCAGCTCTCACCAACTAAGGGACTTTGGACACATAGTATCTGTGTCTCCCTTCTCTCACAGGTGAAATGGGATGTTATTAAAAGTGCCTATTCTTTCAACAAACAATTGTCAAATACTTCTATTACCAAACACGATTCTGGAACAGAGGGTAGCTGGGCAGATGAGATGAATTAATGCTCAGAAAGCACTTAGAAAAGTAGCCAGAATGTGCCTAGCACCGTGAGTAGCATCCATAATTACTTGCTGCTCCTCAAAACTGGAAACTGAAGGAGAGTGCCAGTGGCGGGACAGTCTCTAGCAAGAGGTATAGGCAGCCGGCAGGGACCTGACTTCAAGCCACTTCTCATTTACTTTCATCCATCACTGGCAATTAAAGTTTTTTGAGGCTCCAGTTTTTTTTTGTTTTGTTTTGTTTTTTTTAAAGATTTATTTATTTATTTATTTATTTATTTATACAAGCACTGGGTACAGTCAGAAGCGCGGGAGGGTGAGAGGATTCACCAGAGCCAGAGCGGGGAGCAGAGCAGGCAGAAGGACCGAAGTACACTGCTGAGAGGAGCAGTGGGCGCGGCAGGAGAGGTCTGTGCGCCATGTGGGACCCTCGCCCGGCGGCCGGGGATCAAACCGGAGCTGCAGAGGCTGCAGGCAGCTTTGCAACCCAGCGCTCAACTGCTGCGCCACCAGGGAGGCCCGAGGCTCGAGTTTTAATCATGCCATTAAGTCATGCCATTCTACTGCCTCAGATGGCTCCTGAAATCCAGCCTAAATTAAAAATCACCCACAATACACGTTTTTCTCCATGGAGCCCCCTAACATGGCTCAGCACCCCTCAAATATGTGGCTATTAGAGTCAGGTGGGATCCTCTACCCAGCTCTACATTGCAGAGTTAACCATTCCCTCCTGGGTGAGCTCACTGTCCTTGCACGTGTTATTCTACATTTTAAGTTTTTGTTAATCGGCCTCTCTCTCCAACACAAATACCTAGCACATAGAAGGTAAAGACTATTTGATTTTAAAAAACATACCTTTTGAGGTAAGTGTAGCTTGATTAATTTTAGTAAATGCATTTCTTTGCAACTAACACTTCAAGCCAGTTTTATTATACTTTCATCACCCTAAAACGTCTTCCATGCTCCTTTCCTGTAAATTCCTGCCCTAGGCAACCTCAGATCTATTTTGTGACTCTATGTGTCTTTGTCTTCTTTTCAGAATTTCATATAAATTAATCCCTACAATTTTTTTCTCTGCCTCCAACTTGATTCATGTAGCATGTTTTAGAAGTTCATCAATGTTGTATATGTGTCAGTAGTTTTTTCCTTTTTACTGCGAAGCAGCCATTGTAAGAATATTTTTGTTCATCCCTTCACAGGCTGGTGGACTAACAGAACTGGCCCCACTTCGGGGATACAGTGCCCAAGGCTGCTGTGGACACTCACGGACAAATGGGTTTTCACTTTTCATAGATACACAGGAGTGCAATTATTGGCTCGTGTGTTAAAATTATTCATTTCAAAGCTGAACTTAACTTTGAAGAAACTGCCCCTGTTTTCCAGAGTGGCCACAAACCAACCTACATGCCCACCAGTAATGAATAAAAGTTCTTGGTTGTAAACATCCTTCCCCGACACTTGACATTTCCATTTATTTTTATTCTAGTGATCATGTAGAGCTATCCCATTACGGTTTTATTTGCAATTAATAAATAATGGCATTGTTCACATTAACCATTTATACGTTGCCCTTGGTGGGGTGTTTTATCTCACCTTTACCCCTTTTTAAAGATCAAGTTTTTCCTTATTCTTGACTTAAAAATACTTCATATATTCTGGAAACATGATTTGAAATTATTTTTTCTCATTCAGTGGCTTGTCCTTCTACTTTCTTAAACTGTGTCTTCTCTCACTTTTTTTAAAAAGATTTATTTATTTATTTATACAAGAACCGGGGTACAGGCCAGATGGGCAGGAGGGTGAGAGGATTCACCAGAGACAGATTGGGGCCACAGAACAGGCGGACTGGCTGAACTACACTGCTGAGGGGAGCAGCGGGCGTGACAGAAGTCTGATGCCATGTGGGACCCTCGCTGGCCAGCCGGGATCGAACAGGTGCTTCAGGCTACAGACAGCTTCACACAGAGGCCCTTAAACTGTGTCTTCTGAAGAGCAGAACTTTTTTAAGTTTGATAAAGTCCATGATAGATTTGACTAATCAAAGAAGACAATATTACAGAGTGAGTGGCTTAGTCTCACATGTAGGCAAATGGGTCATTTCAAGGTAAACTTTGTCCATGATGTGAGGCAAAGCCTACACCCATTTTCTCAAGTGGTGTCCAATTGCTCAGCGTGTTGGTTGAGGAGATGGTTCTTCCCCCATTGACTAACCTTGTCACCTTTTGTCAAAAATCATTCAGCACAAACACGTGGGCGCGTGTCTGCTTTCTCTGTGCATTCCTTTGTCCTGCCGCGCCTCGTGCCAACACCACTTTCCCCAATAGCGCGCTGTTACTATGAGTCATGAAACCACGTAAAGCAAAACTTCCAATAATGTTAAACAAATCCTGCATTCAGAAACAAACCCACCCGTCACAATGAATAATGACTTTTTGTGTTGATGAGTTTGATTTGTTACTGTCTCCAAGGATTTGGTGGTGGTGGTGGTAGTGGTGGTGGGGGATTGGTTGGTTGAGAGATACTGGCTCTCTTTCCTTGTGATGTCTGTCCTGGCTTTCACTTCAGACACAAACGGGCTTCATAAAATAGGCTGGGAAGTAGTTCTCATTTACCTTTTGAAAGGATTTTTTGGCTACTGAATATTTTGTCATATGTATAGGTGACATATATTAATTGAAAGAACACCAACCTAGAACATCTTTTGAGTTTCCGGTGTACAGAAGAACAACATCAGCATGTGCTGTTTTCACTAAGTGTGGGTCACCCATTCCCGATTCTTCCCATGTTTTGTAATCTGGGGTTGAAAATGGGACATCACAGACAATATTTTGAATTGTCCGAATTCTACTTTCAGACATTCTACTTTCTTAATCTCTGAATTCTACTTTCTTAGTCTATGTTTTTTTTAATGCTTTTATGTTTTAATTTGCAATCGATGCCACTGATGCATCTGCAGTTTTTAAACTTTTATTTAAATTGTATTTTTAATTTCACATCATGTCTGCTCAGCTTAATGGTTAGCAAGTGTGGTGGGCAAACGTTGTGGTCAAGCTTCCTGAGTCCACAGGCCTTTCACTCCAGGCGGATCAGATTGGGTGGGGAGCACTTTCTAAGTTAAGTCTGCGTTTATATTTTGCTGTACTTCTTGGGTCTTTCCTGAACAGACACATTTATCCTCATAATCCAGAAATATATGGAGAGTCTATCCCAGCCCTGCTGAGGCTCTCTCATTTCCAGCATCTCACCTGCACATGCCTGGCTTTTTGCAGGTTTGCGCTGGTGAAACTGCATTTTTAATGACCACACAGAAGTGTGAGGAGCCACCTTGATGTTCTTTCAAGAAGTTCTGATAATTTTCAAGGATAAAAGCTTTTCAACCTATTATCTGCATTTGGTCATTTGCAGACAGATGAAATGATTTTTTGGACAATTTTTCTGGTTTTGCTCTTGTGTTTTGCAGATGGAGTCACTGACCTCTTTCTACCACCATAACTGGGAGTAGTGCCATTGAGGATGAGCCGTTCAATTGAATCAACAGTGTAGAGTGGATGCAAAATATAATAGTTTATCATCTTCTCTTAATGCAATGCTAGAGGACAAAAGAGGCTCTGATGAACGGAACATACTTAAAATGGCTCCTTTTTAGATATGAATGTAAGGACCGGCCTGTGACCTGCTGACCCTGGCAGACACTACGACCATAGCATCAAAGCATCCTACATAGACACTCTCTCCTAAGTCTCAGTTCCCCCATCTGTAAATGAATGGGCCCTTTCAATCCTGACAAAATCCATTTACACAAAACACTTTCTAGGCAGGACACCAGCATGATGGTGAATTTTATGTACCAACTTTACTGCAGAAAGTTGACACATAAAGATATTTCTGGCTATGTCTGTGAGAGTATTCCAGATGGGATTAACCCGTGAATAAGTGGGCTCAGTAAAACAGGAGAGGCCCAGCCTCTCCAACTTGTGTGGGAATCACCCAATCTGTTGAGAGTCTGAAGAGAACAAAAGATGGAGGAAGAGAAAATTTGCCTTCCTGAGTGATCGAGCTAAGACATCAGCCTTCTCCTGACATAAGGCTGGGATCTGTATCATCAGTTCCCCTGATTCTCAGGCATGCAGACTCACTGAGCTACACCACTGGTTTTCTTTGGGTGTCCAATTTGTAGATGGAAGATAGTGAGACTTCTCAGTCTCTACAATCACATGAGTGATTCCCATCTAGGTATATTGATAGATAAAAAATAAGAGCTATTGGGCCTCCCCGGTGGCGCAGCGGTTGAGCGCTGGGTTGCGAAGCTGCGATCCCCCGCTGACCAGAGGGTACATGGCGCGCAGACCTAGTGCTCCCCTCAGCAGTGTACTTCGGTCCTTCTGCCTGCTCTGCTCCCCAGGAAATTCTGACTGTACCCAGTGCATGTTAAACAAAACATTACATGCCTCTATAAGAACTAGATTTCTAAGAGTTATTACTATATGGAATATATAATAGTAATATAAGGAAATTATAGGATTTAAAATAACATTACTTATCAGTATTTCTCTAATCAATTAATATTATTTTAATGTCATATCATAGATAATCGTAATATATATCATACATTAACATATACTATAAGTATGTTTAATATATGCTATAAGTATGTTTAATAATGTTACTGTAGCAATAGTTTATATATACATATTCCATCTTATTCATTCTGTTTCTGTGTCAAGATCATTATTTATTTGTCACTGTGCCCTAGATTTAGAAAGTCAGTGATGGAAGACTCTACACACTATTGAGAATCCTAAAGAGCAACCCAAGAAGCGAGGATGTTTAGGCAGGAAGTGAGGAGAAGAGCTAAGTCCTTGTGCACTTTGCTCCTTCTGCATATCTCAAAACAGCCCTTGAAGAATCCTAGGGCATCAAGGAATTCAATTTAATAAACTTGCAGAATTAAACTTCTTCACTGAATAAGGGAGAAATCACACCAACTGATTTACCCACAACTAGGGAACCAAGTAGATAAATATCTAGATGGAGTCATCTTTTTCAGTAGCATTGACAATAAATACAACTGCACTTATTCTCATGGGCAGAGACAGAGTCATAGCCACCTCTGTAATGGTAGCACCTACACCTTACCTAACATGGAGACCTAACAATGGTCTCAAAACCATCGGTGAATTAATAAATTCAACAACATGAATCATAACAGAGCCACAGGTTAAGAATCCATTGTATGGCTCCCTCGGATAGCAGGTCTCTGTCCCATTCCATGTTGATTTCATGCTGGTTTCTTAAGGTTGGAAAATGCAGAATCTTTTAGTTTACAAAATATCAAGCGTGGAGATCATTTTACGTATGTCAACACAACTACCCCCCCATGACTATTTTGACATACTAAACTAGTTTCCGAAGTAAGATTAAGCAGTTAAGCTTCTTGAGGTTTTACACCACGACTCTGGTTGAGCCTTAGAGCAAATAGAGCATGGAGGATAAGCTGTTGATTCAGTTCTAATGGCCTTGGGGGATCTCTACTGCTCAGTAACAATCCCATTTCTGATGGAAGGAGGGAAGAGGGTGGCGAAAAACTCCAGGAACAGAGGAAGTGTTTCTAGGTGAAATAGTAGTTTGGTGGACTTGGACCATTTTTAATGCTATCATTAACCTTGGGGAAGAAGCAATTTGGTGCACACTAAATTCATATGCCTGGAATAATGAGGGATTTAGAAGAGGTGGGCACTGTCATAATTTTTCTTTTTTCTATATAAATTTGAAACAAAGGTCAGATTTTATTTCATGTCTGTGCCTTTGCCTTATCCATCTTTTCCAGAGAATCAGGTGACAGATGTCAGCATGGTGGTTCAGAGAGGTGGCATTAATGGCTCACAGTCACATAGCTAATTGCAAACCAGCCATTGAATTGAGGTTTCCTGCATTCAATTCTCAGGCCTTTTGCATTATTATATCATACAGAAAACAAATTCAGAGCAACCAGGCCATTATTCACCAAAAATGTGTGTGTGTGTGTGTGTGTGTATGTGTGTGTGGGGGGGTGTTCCACAGCCCTCACACCCACTTGCATCCTAATGCTGTAGTGAAAACAACAAAATGTTTATTCAGGAAGAGCAAGGAGGAGCAGCCTGCATCTCAGGGGCAAGAGGGTGGACTCGGTGCCCGGGGCCATTCTCCTCAGACTCACCCTGTAGCTGACATCCTCCAAGAGGACAGATGCTCCTGCAGCCGAGTCTGCCTGCCACAGGGTCTCTTTGATGCTACAGCCGTAAAGGAACACGTTCTTCTTCTGCGAGTGGCCGTGGAAGTCACAGAAGACCTGCAGTGGCCAAAGGCGAAAGGCAGTGTGAGCTAATCACTTCGTTTTTTTTAATTCTGAAAATGTCAACTTGCTGAGGTCACAGAAACAGCTGCATGGTGCTGGCAGGTGACCTCAGCAGAATGCATCAGTGGGGTCACAGGGGAGGAAAGGCAGGTTGCAGGGGGCTTAGGAGTGAGCAGAATGGGAAGAAATAGAGAGCCATGGACAGCTCTCCTGAAAAATTATTTGTGAAAGAGGAAACAGGGGTAAAACCAGAAAAGGAACTAAGTACAAAGTTTTCATTTGTGACAGTTTTAAATAATTTTTAAAAACAGTAGGAAATATCCACGTAGAAGGAATAGATTAAATGTTTAAAATATAGTTTTCTCTAGCATCTGGCTTGGTAAAGAAATAAAGTCCGGCAAAACGCAAGGCTTAGCACACAAAAGAGGTGGGGGTGGCTACAAAGAGGAAGCACGAGGGGTGTTTGGGATGAATAAGACTGTACCCCATCACGACTCTGTGGCAGAGCACACCTTAGTGCACGCCTCAAAACCTTTGAAACTACACCACAAAGGGTGTATTTTGCTGTATGTAAATTGTCAAAACATCCAACCACACTGCCAGCATTGGGAAAATCTAAAATGAAATAGAAACTGTAATAAGGGAACTTATCTGTATTGCAAATGAATAAAATAATCAAATTTAATGGGGTGGGAAGAAGAAAACTAACCTAGGTTCCTCTGGAAAATACTAGCTTCCACATAATAATGTAAAAATAAAGACAAAAGCTCTGAATACTAACACTGTGCTCTTGTTAATAAATACATTTATTACAGTGGTGTGGGTTAGTAATATTGAAACCACTTTATATGTACACTAGGGATGAACAAATAAGTAGATATATCTTAGGAGGGAGATATATAATGAGTTTCTCATTGCTGGAGGAAAAAGTTAAAGGCAATGGCAACAGGAAGACCAAATAAACTCTCTGGTATTCAACTGAAATTAGAAGTATCACTGTGATGTCTTGGGTTTTTAAATATATATGCAGAGATATGTTTAAATATAGAAATAAAAATGAGTGCCTGTATAGATGAGTTAGCACAGCCACATACTTTTCCAAGTCTTGTTCTTTGAGAGGACCTAGACAAATCCACCTCCACAGCCAGGAGCACAGCTACTGCCCACATTCTAATCCCATTCTCCAGTACAAGGAACCAGGTTTTCTCAACCAGTAGTTAATTTCAGGGCTCAGAGAAAATACAGGCTGAGGACACCATGACAGGTGATGCCAGAAAGGAATATTTCAAAAGGAAGAGTTATGTTTAAAGGACTCGGGAACCAATATATATTTTAAAGATTTATTTCTTTATGCATCCAAGAACTGGGGTACAGGCCAGAGGTGTGGGGGGTGAGAGGATTCACCAGAGACAGAGTGGAGAGCAGAACAGGCGGACTGGCTAAAAAACACTGCTGAGGGGAGCAGCGGGCGAGACAGGAGAGGTCTGCTGCGCCATGTGGGTTGCTCCCTGGACGGGATCGAACTTGTGCTTCAGAGGCTGAGGAGAGCTTCACAGTGCTGTGCTTAACACCTTGCGCCATCAGGGAGGCCCCTCAGGGACCAACAGTAATAAGAAAAAGAGGCGTCATCCAACTTTAAAGTGGGCAAAATATTTGAATTGACATTTCATGGAAGCGAATGTCTATGTGGCTATTTTGCAAATGAAAATGAACTCAACCTCATTAATACCAAGGAGGTCATGTGGCCACCACCACAAGATGCCATGGCACGGAATGGGATATTAGGACCACTGATTCCATAGCAGAGATAAATGCAAGTGCTGATTGGGTAGATTGCTCAAACCCAGCCTGCAGACTATAAAATGATACCACTATCCTGGAAAAACAATCTGGGAGCACCTTCTAAAGCTGACTAAAAACATTCTAGAGCCCACTCCAGCCCAACTGGGTACCAGGAGAGATCAGATTATGTCCATAGCAGCACTATTTTTCCTAGCCTAAGCCTGTGAATAAAATGCATTCATTGTGGTGTAATCATTTAACAAAATACAGTCCAGCATAAAAGAATAACTTAGATAGACATAAAAGAATAAATCTGGGTGATTTCTCTTTTATGTCATTCCAAAGCAGGCAAGTTAATTGGCAATGCAGCAGAATCCAGCAGAATTGTGGGATCCGATGGTAGATCTATTTTTAATATTTTGAGAAACCTCTATGACAGTTTTCCACAGGGGCTGAACCAGTCTACATTCCTACCAATATTGTACAAGGATTTCTTTTTCTCCACATATTCCCCAATAGATTATTTCTGGGTTTTCTGGATAATAACTGGTCTCTCACCAGCATAAGATGATGTCTCGTCGAGGTTTTGATTTGCATTTCCCTGATGATAAGTGACGAAAAGCATTTTTTTTCATGTGCCTGTTGGCCAAGGATATGTCTTCTTTGGAGAAGTGCCTACTTAGTTTTTCTGCCCATTTTCTGATTGGGTTGTTTATTTTCTTATCGTTGCATTGTGTGAGTTCTTCAGCTGTCTTGGCTATCAGTCCTCTGTCAGATGTAGGATGTGCAAATATTTTTACCCATTCTGCAGGGTATCTTTGTTTTACTGATAGTTTCCTTCATTGTGCAGAAGCTTTCAGTTTGATATAATCTCATTTGTTTATAATTCCTTTTGTTTTTCTTGCCTTTAGAGACAAATCCAAAAAGGTACCACTGAAGCCAATGTCATACAGTGTTTTTCCTATGCTTTCTCCTATATATTCTAAGGTTTCAGGTCTTACATCCAAGTCTTTAATCCATTTCGATTTAATTTTTGCATATGGTATGAGGTCCAGTTTCTTTCTTTCCCATATGACTGCCCAGCTTTCCCAACAGTATTCTATACACTTGGTTCCTTTGTCACAGGTTAACTGTTGAATAAATGTGTATTTATTTCTCAGCTCTCAATTCTATTCCATTGGTCTGTGTGTCTATTTTTATTCCACCATGATACTATTTTGATTACTATAGCTTTGTGATATAGTTTTAATTCTGAGAGTGTACCTCCATTCTAACTGGGTTTTGTTTTCATTTTTATTTTTGTTTTTTGATCAGGATTGCTTTGGCTCTTTGGGGTCATTTGCGGTTCCACATGAATTTCATAACATTTGTTCTCTTTCTTTCAAGAATACCATTGAAACGTTGATAGGGATTGCATTGAATTTTGATATTGCTTTGGGCAGGATGGTCATTTTAACAATGTTAATTCCTCCAATCCATGAACAGAGACTATCTTTCTATCTCGTTGTGTCTTCTTCTTTCAACAATATCATATGGTTTATATTGCACAATTCCTTTACCTCCTTTGTTAAGTTTATTCCTATGTATTAATTATTTTGGTGCAATTGCATTTATATTTTATACAGAATCAGGTTTATAGTTACAGTTTCAGGTTAAAGTCTTATGAAAAAATAAATCTCCCAACTCCTGGACATCTCTGAGATGTGGGTTATGAAGAGTTGAGGAGAGGGAGTAGGTCCATTGACCAGTCAAACCGGAGACAAGATAAATCACAAAAGAGCAGAACAGTGAATCTGCATAGAGAAAAACAAAATGAGAAATGAAAGATGGAAGAACTGTGAGGTTTTGGTCTTTTCCAGTTCCTGTGAGACCTCACTGGACTTTACTTCCCCCTGACCAGTGGGGTTACTTTGAGAGGTTTCTGATATTTCCAACAAAATTATGCTCCCAAGCCAGTGCTTCTCATCCTGTGCAGGGATCGAATCTCCTGAGGAGGTTTTAAAAGTATCAATGCCTGGAGCCCACCTCCAGAGATGTTGATTTAATTGGTCTGCAATGGTACAGGTTGTGGGAGTTTTTAAAACCTCCAGCTGATGGCTGAAGCTCAGCAGGGCTGAGAAACACCATGTTCAGTCCAGGGGCTCAAGCAATGGTGCCTAATGGTTGTCACGTAGCAGAAAACCTGGAGGGTTTGCAAGAGCAGAGGCCACTGATAGGGAAAAATGGCTCCTTGCGTTCATCAGAGATGGAAAACAGAAGGAAAATCTTAAATTCCTGAAAGTCTGGGTTTGATCATTTAGAAAAGGTTTCAATAGGGCCTTACTCTTACATTTTCAGGTGAGATCAAGTAAAATACTTGGAGAATGGGTTCTGCTGAATTTATTTTCCTAGTGAACCTAGGGAGAACTACAAATTCTTCTTGATTCAACCCAATTAAATTTGATTTCTGTGATTAGTTTTCTCACTGTTAAGTCATGCTGGGATGGAGTTGGGGAGAGCACCTAGTAAAGACCCACTGATCCCCAAATATGCCCTGCCATTTCAGGAGCATGCCTTAAAGAATAATGCTGAAAGATCCATTACTTTGACTCTCTTTTAAAGTGTATTCCTCTGAAATGAGGCTTTATTCATTGGAGGTGGCTGTGAAAATTAAGAGGACACAATGAGTGATATACAATATGCCCCATTATAACCGCTCAGTAAGTGGTGGTAAGTTATGGATGTTTTTATATACATATATTTTTATTTTTAAGCAATGATTTTCATGAAATATGATGGTACATTTCTAGGCTGACCTTGAAGTAAAATACTGACACAACTTTGTAAATAAATGGGAGTCCCAATTTCTCACTGTGCACAGGTTTTAAATATCTTTTTTTAAATTCAATAAAATAATTTCTTTTTATTATTATTTTTTATTATTTTTTTTCTTACAACAACATCAATGTAGGCCCTATAGTTCTCCCTCCACTGTATCACCCGTGAACCATCCCCATATTCCCTGAGGCTTACAGCAAAGGAGGGGTGAGAAAGAGAGCAAAACAGGGGAGGGAGGAACACAAGGGTTTCAAAGATCTTTTTTGGAAAATTTAAAGGTAAGTTTGAAGAAGTAGAACTGAGGTCACATCTTCCCCTGTTGGGCATTCTTTCCATGAATAAGTACAGTAATTGCTTTGGTGTTTTTTCAACACACACACACACACACACACACA